CTCTACGCACTAGCAGCCTACAGGGTAAGGGTACATAACTAATTTTGCGGTCGTGGTTCTCTGCATTCGACTTCTGTTGATTACGACAATGAAAGAAAAGTCCTAGAATAGAGGCGACGCATAGGGACAAGGTGCGTGAGATATCGTAACTCCAGGTAGACCGACGTGATATGGCGGGAAGTCGTTGGACACGAATGGCGGAAGACGGCAACTGTGGAAATCATGGGAAAATGTTTATATCCAACACTAGACAATAAGTAACAAGCTACCAATATTCTAAAATAAAAAGGATAATTTGTGATATATATCGTTATGTTTATAAGAGTCAATATTTTTAAACACCTTATCTTAATATGGCAACACTGACGAAATATGACAGCCTATAGTAACGCCTAAATGTTCTCTCTATTAGTAACCGTTACATAACACATTAGGCAATAGTTTCGCGGCTAAGGCTGTCCCAAACAATGACAGACGTTGCCGATTTTGATTATCGAAGGACATGATTACTGTCGTTTGCGACTTTGAGAATGTATGACAATAACCCTAAAAGTTTTAAGGACTTTTGACTATACTTTTAGAAAATTTTGACAGTACCTTAATGAATATAGCTATAGCTTGCGACTTCATTGACGTGAAATTAAAAACATAGCCTATGTTAGTCAGAGATAAATTACCTTTGTAACAGTGAAAGAATTTTTAAAATCGGCCCAGTAGTTTTTACGTGGATCGAATACATACAAAATTACTATTTTTTTTCTTTATAATATTAGTATAGAAGGAGTACTGGTAGAGGTAGGCCTAGGAAAAGACGAAGGGATTAAAAGGAGACATCGTTATAAAGGGAATGAAGGTTGAGACGGAGGATGTGGCCCTCATGAGTGGAATAAGGACAAGAAGACTTAATGTCATTCGGATATCTTTAGTATATTTAGATTACCCTAACCCGATCGTTCGGCAGGTGTGAAACGGACACTATGTGGTCATATATTTAAAAATACAACCCTCACTTATATCCAGTAATAAAAACATTCGAGTGTTTTGGTTATTGCGAGGCGTTCATTAAAAAACATCCGTGTCGTGGGAGACCCGCTCAATGTGTGTTGCTGAATTACAACTAAGTGTTATGGTTTCATGCTGGCAACATTACGATTATATTATCTGCGACATTTTAATTAAAAGCCATGAGGGGTACACCGGTAGAGGTAGACCTAGAAAGAGATGACCTAGATGCGTGAAAGCTGCATTATCAAGAAGGGAGTGATGACTGAGATGATAGAGTGCTTTGAAGGACGAAAACCCGGTGCGCCGACCCTAGTGGGGTAGGATAAGGCCGGGGAGATGATGATGATGAGCCATGAGCACAATACTTTGATCTCTCTAGAACCTCCTAGACAAAACGACTTTTAACTAGGGTTAGTAAAATCGACAAAATGTGTCCAAACGTATAAGCATGAATCCGTGACTTATCGAATGTTATTGTCGGTTCCATACATTTTAGATTTTTCGGTCAGCAATAGTTACTAGCTATCTTACTTATATTATAAATACGTAAGTTTAGATGGATGTTTGTTAGAGTTTGTAGCCTAAACAGCTGAACAGGTTTCGATGAAATTTGGTTAAGATGTTGAGGATAGTCTGGATACTCACTTTTGTTTTTTTTTAATTAATGCTAACGGAGTCGCGGGCGAAAGCTAGTATTCAATAAATGTAAATATTTAAATCAAGTAAATTCAAGTTCAGAATGTAAACATAACGAATTTTAAAAATGTTTATTAGAATGACGTACTAACACAATGATGTTGAAACTTCGAATTATTTGTGTTTTTAAAACAATAATGGTTATTATTAAGACGTCATATCTACATAAACATATAAAAACTATTTACGTAATTATGAAAATGTAACAGCCTGTAGATATACCAAAGAAAAACAAATGAACATTTCCACTATCGTAACATTTAGAGAAAAATAATATCTTTTCTATCGATGTTTTCTCTACATATAATAAAATTGGAGAGTCTGTTTGAAATGTCGAAAGAAAATTCAGATTTCGGGAATCTCCCCGCAGTATCGGCAACCAAAATCACATTTAAAATATTTTTGTCTGTCTGTGTGTGTGTAAACTCCGCAACGGCTTGGCCGATTTCGACCAGCCATTCACTTAAGGGTAGCGGGCGTAGATTTGCATATAAGCTACTTTTTTGTCTTAATATTTCGTGGACGAAGTCGCGGGCAACGGCTAATTAGAAATAAAACAGTGACAGTATTTTGTTTTAAAACACATGTCTTCTTAATAGAACCTTTAGACCGCAAACGTATCTTGATTGTAAAGCTAGTTAGACACCTACAGTGAACATTCAGAATAAACAGCTAAATCGTACGTGTGTTGGCGAAATTATGACTGTCAGCTAGTGAAACAAAATTGTCAGGTGTCAATAAACTGTAGGTATGTAACTTTACAGAGAAAAAATTAACTTAAGGAAAATGTCAAATGAAATAAAAAATTATAATGGTTTTTCCAAAATAATTTACGCACGAAACTGTATTTCACGAAACTCCATTGCAATGAAACTTGTATTTACATGTTATTTTGTTTTTTAAAGCAAATGTGTGGGATGACGAAATGTTTCGATACAAGTAATTCGACAATGTAAACTTAGATATACCCAACGGATTTAAACACTTATAACACACAAGTCGTAAAATCAATTATTAAAGGTAAAACCATTCCAAGTATCTTTTAGACCAAGTTACACAATTTAGGATAGTCAGAGTTAGTGATAGACAAACATACGAGAGATTTTTATATGTATTAGACAAATACAACAAGCGGGTAATAAAATTTAGAACTTTGTCAGTAGAAAATCATTTTCTTTGTAGTTAACTTTACAAAGGTACTTATTCAATGGATTTAAGTAGCCATCAAATCGCAAATAATATCTTACTAAATAAACTTGAAAATTTGTATGGATAGATGTTAGAAATAATCTCCGGAACGGCTCAATAGACCTATGAAATTAGGCACAGATGCAGAACATAGTCTGATAGTACACATGAGATACTTATTTTTGATTTTTTTAATTCCGCGCGAAAGGAGTTGCGTGCTAAACCTAGTTTACACATAAATAGTAGTAAAATACAACTGTAAACATAATTCTAATAGGATTGCTAAGAAAATCAATATGTTATTAAAATTAAGCATTAAATAGTGCCTGAAATAAGCAACTTTATTGTCGTAGTCATTACCAATACGTTTAATTTCAATCTAAAGAGGTTGTATTTACCAGCTTTTACCCTTTTTTTATAACATAAGGTGGCAAACGAGCAAGCGGCCACTAGAATCCACCAAAATGGCGAAGCGACCGCTGCCCATAGACATCCGCAATTGCAGATGCGTTGCCTACCCTTATACGACGGGGGAGGAGACGCACATAAAGAGGATATTTCCCCTTCTTATGCGTCTCCTCCACCGTCAAATCTCATTTTCCATTCATCCTTCTCTTAAAGAAAAAGGTGGGACGGGAAAGGGACTAAAATTGGGCCTCCGGCACCACACTCATCAGACGAAATGCGAAATTGCTTCCATTTCACGCCTGTATTCTGTGCGGTCGTGGTATTGCAACGGGCGAGCCGACCCATTCGTGCGAAGATGTTAAAGCGGGCTCTACCACTGTTGTGTGTCTACCACTTAGAGCTTGTGTACACCTTGTCTAAATTATCGCAGAACTGTTTAGTCTCAGTTTGATTCCTACGATCTTATATGTATTTAAGTTTATTAAATTCAAATAAGCCAGGGTTACTCATTAAAAATTATTTATTTACGGTACGGTTATAAATTAAAAATACGTTCATTGTTATCAAAATATTCTCAGGATAAAAGTTTATTTTTATTTCTTTCAAATTAAAAATTTATAATTATGAAAACCTTTTAATTTAAAATCTTAATATAAGAATTATTAAATTAAAAATATGTTTATTCAATTTTTATTTTAACCTTTATTTGGATATCAAAATAAGATAAATTTAAACACTTTAAATAGTTTCGCCCGCGACTCTATCCGCCTATAATTAAAAAAATAATAAAAAATATGGCCTAACTTACTCACTGACAGCTTTAATGGTGAAAGAATTTTTCAAATCGGCCAGTAGTTTTTGATTTATTTAACAATCAAACAAAGTTTTCCTCTTTATAATATTAGTATATATAGACATTTAATCCGAAAACAATAGAGTTGCGAAAAAAGGCCTTAGTTTTATTTTAAAAATAACCTTTTAAAAATCTCTTGATAAGACGGTAAAATTGTATTGATCACTTTGATTGAATAGTTTGTTACCCATCTCTGAAACGGCTTAAAGGATCTCGTTATCACAGAAGTAGAACATAGTCTGGAAGAACACATATATAGCTAGCTTTCGGCCGCGACTCCGTCCGCGTGAAATTAAAAAAATAACCTAGAGTTCTTCCAGACTATCCTCTATACCTATAACAAATTTCATCGAAATTCGTTCAGCCGTTTAGAGTACAAACTCTAACAAACATCCATCCTTCCATCCATGTAAAATTTCGCATTTATTATTTAGTATTATGTTTTTTTTAATTTCGCGTAGACAAAAGCTAGTACATATATCTAATAAAATAATTAAAAATGGACACCCTAGTCGAGTTTACTCAACCATATCATGTGTTCAATACATATTTAAATAAAGGTTAATAGGTTGAATTAATTTATAACTCGGGAACGCTGAAATTTTAGTTTATTTGTTCGATATTTAAACAATGAAATCGTCTGTTTAAAAAAAGATTAAGGGCTAAAAAAAAAACAATTGCCAAAGTTGACAGTTTTTCGACTGTTGACGTTTGTTTTTTTATTAATTCACGTGAAGACAAACTTCCTTAATAGGTTAAGAAAAGGTTTAGTTAGACTATTTTTAATAGATGATATTCCGTACATTTTACGTATAACCAACTAAACTATGTAAATAACAATTATAATTACCCATATGATTATTTGTAGTGAAGTATTTTTTTTATTAATCGTCTGTGTCACAAACCAGGTACGTCAAAGTAAATCCTTTTAAATACAAGTACAACCAGAGGTGAACGCGTCTACTGAACTTTAACCGCAACTTGTCACAAACTTAATATTAACACAATATTAAAATCACGAAATCGAAATTTAAAAAAAAAACACGGATCACCACACATCAAGTCCTTCAGTCTTTTTATTTTAAAAGCGCGAGTTTCCGAACGCATCCATAAAGTGTTCGAAAGTTCGAAATTTGAAAATTTGAATTAGTACCGCGATGGTTTCGCGCCGAGCGCACACTGCCGACTGTCGGCGCACGCGCAGCTCTACTCCCAACATCGTTGTATTGAGGCGCCGTCAACCTTCTTCATGTTACATTGGATGAAACTTATAACCAGCGGAAATTGAATATATGTCAAAATATAGAAAATGTAGTAGTTATTGTAGGCCTACTGTGAAACTTGAAATAAGTAGAGTAAGTTATGACTAAGATATGTCTATTTACTTAATTTTTTATTACAAAGATTCTTATGAAACAGTTTACATATTAAACACGAAAAAAAATAATCCTAATATATTATTATGAAGTAATTATGGAAAAATCATTAAATAAAGACAATTATGCTATTTTAATTAATATGAAATCATAGATTTGTATTAAATTTAAAATTATGTATTGGTATTTTTTAATACCAAGAGCTTAAAAGTTCGCCAAACATTTACAACTTCTGACCAAACCTGTTGACTCAACACGCGTATTCAATATCTTAAGAGATCGAAGAAAAATATGCCTAACTCTGTCTGGCATCAAAACTACACCATAAGTGTAAAAGAAAACACTATATCCACAGATGACTTCTCTTAACCTCTCGTAAGTGCCATAAATATAAAAATGGTAAGTGCAATAATTTCCTGATATGGAAATATATACTTTATTCCATAGCAATACAAGTCATTTTCTATAAAAGTAGTCTTGTAATTTTTTACTTTTATTTAACTGTTCTTAAAATTAACATTTTAAATACATTAAAAGTCTCATTACAATTGCGAATAAACCTTTATTAATTTAAAATTATTAATAATTAAATAATTTACAACATTTTCGTTAAGTTTAAAATATAATTTATGTACGGGGATGAGCAGGCGCAACCGGACAATGTTCGATCAAGCGTGAGATTGTTTTTGTCTCTTTCTAACGCGTACATTTCGAGGACGCTAGAAAGAGATAGTGTTACGTTTAGATCTTTATGGACCAAAATGGTAGACGTGGCTTCATTTGGATCTTCCCAGATGAAATCCGGTTAATTTTCGTAGGCATTAAAGATATTTTCTTTATAAAGCTTTTAAACTGGTCTTAATATACACTAAACTGTAAACTCCAATTTTTTTATTATTTATTATGGAATAATGGTGAAATAATGAATTTATTTTGTTTTTGTGAATTTTGTGATATTATTAAACGATGTAAGGGAAGACGTTGGCTTCTTTTATACAGGGAATCAACCTGATAAAGGAGTCAAGGATATGTAATTGAACAAAATACCGAATTTAAAATTAAAGGTGAAAAAAAAGCGTGTGAAATGTAATTGTAAAATTATATTTGAATTGTATAAATAAATAGTCAAACTATATAGCAACTAATTGTATATTACGATAATGAAGGTAAAAAAAAAAAATTTTGTAAAAAAAAAAACACTCATATCATATTATCCCATTGGAATTTTCCTTGAAAAATCACTAACATATATTTTGTTTTAAAAAAAGGAATTACATTTATTTAATATCTAGAGTAAATTCCTGATAAATTAAAAAAAAACCGAACACACACTTCACAAAATCACATATCTCATGAAAATATAAAAACCGCTTCATGTGTGGAAATTGTCGTTTGCATGTTTACAATATTCAGACGTTCATTTAGAATTATAGTTTATTTATTTTATCTAAACAATAAACATTGATTGTTGGATACGCAGACTTTCATACCAATGTCAATTAGTATTCAAAATAGATAGATCTTCTATGAAAGTAGAAGACTAACAGTAACTAACCGCTTCACAGTGGTAGAGCCCGCTTTAACATCTTCGCACTGCAGGGCCGGCTCACCCGGTGTAATACTACAACCACACAGAAAACAGGCGTGAAGTGGAAGCAATTCCGCGTACAGTCTGATGAGTGTGGTGCCGAAGGCTCAATTAAAATTCCCTTTCTCTTATCACCCTTTTCTTTTAAGGAGGATGAGAAGGGAAAGTGGATTTGACGGCGGAAGGGGAAATATCCTCTTTATGTGCATCTCCTCCTTCGATTAGGGGTAGGTAACGCATCTGCAATTGCTAATTTTTGCCCACTGTGCTCCAAGTAAGTACTTTTTACACTTGGACTACAGTCGGGAAAATAAGCGTGAAACTTAGACACCGCACGCACTAGATTGACCAATCGTCACCCCGCTCTGTCCCCAAGTGGAGACAGATGAGAATAAAAAGTTCGGCCATGGCCAATGCCCGGAGCCCACCTTTTGCGACGAGGGGACGGTTGGCCTAATTTATATAATAACGGTTCCATCTGTCACCTTATTGTGTGATAGTGGGACTAAAAGATGGGATGGATGAAACTTTTTATTCACACGTGGGGTCAGAGCTGGTGACCTTTGGGAATAATCCTCTTGATTGTACACCGTACACCGGTTAGAAATTATTGACATTGGGAATGAGTAAAGTCTTATAATTTAAACGCGTAAATAAAGTTCGCTCGCATTCAAGTCTTCATTCTATCAAGTCAATATATCCTCTGCCCGTACTAAGTGTTTGTACGCATGTGCGTCTCTTTTGGATAACAAGAAAGTGGAAAACAAGACGGAACTAAAAATCATTTTATATTTCTCATAGCAATTTCTAATACTTTCGATCGCTCTCTAAATAATAATAGATTTATTTTCTAAAGCTATTACAATCTGCAAGATGGGTTTTTAGACGAAAATTATTCAAATGTTGATTTTAGACGAACAAGCATTACTTAAGTAACGCTTAAAATTAATAAATACATTTAGTGAAAAGCATGAGTAATACTACATACGTAATCCGGTGAGTTAAATGCACTTAAAAATATTTCAGAAACATTGTTTAAAATCCGACTCAAAGGACCATTTTAATACTACATAAGGTGATGAACATTTAATACATTTTAGCATTTGAGGTATTAAATGATATTAAATGGTACGATTGCATATATATAAGCTGAATGTAGAAAATATATTTCAAAGAGAAAGAAAAAATAAGGCTCTGTCCCACCAAATTGTATATTTTCTGATAATAATCTAACATGTAAAATATATGATGGAAATATCGGATTTTGTTCCCTTATCTGACAGCGACGTCATTTTTAAGCTATCTGAGCCTCTACCAGTCAGTGGTGGGACAGGTTCTAAAACTTAAAATGCGTCCAAAAACGGTAAAATTACGATTAACTGCGCCAACGTCGTATTGACGAAGTTACCCTGAGGTAAACTAATTTATTCTATATCGTTATGATGACGCACAAGTCATACCACTTCGGGGTAACGTCCTAGACAATGACAATAATATTCTTTGCAATTAAAGCGAAAGGAAGGACGCGTGCAACGCGACGAGAAAGTAAGAGTATGACAATTTCACGGTGAGCACGCGCTCTGAACTTAAGGTCTGATGCGCATCACGATGTACGGCCAGCAAAACACATGTTCAGCTTTATAAAAATACTAGCTGTTCCCGTGCGACTGCATTCGCATGAAATTATGAATATTGTTTTATTGGTTACATTTGTCAAAATTATCAATGACATGATGACCATGCATGGCAATTTAGCTTCCTTGATGTTGGCAGCAACTTATGGTCTCTTTCCCACATTAGGGTATTTATCCAAAATATTTACCCCCAAGTTTAATGGCGTGAAAATATATAGCCTAAAGCGTGACGCAAGTTTAGGGCTTTTTATTAAATAAAGAATGATTCAAAAACATCCTGTAATTAGGCAACAAAGAAGTGTGTGTTTATGCTTTATTAAAATAGTATAAACTAGCTATTGTTCGTAACTTCGTCTACTTGGAATTAAAAAATAACCTATATACAGCTATGAAGCAGCTTTTGAATGGTGAAAGAATTTTTGAAATCGGCTCAGTAGTTTTTGAGTTATTTCAATACATATGAAATACAAATCCTTCCTCTTTTTAACATTACTAGCTGTTGCTTGCGTCTTCGTCTGCGTGGGATTAAAAAAATAGTTAAAAATATCACGTTACTTACTGATGACGTAGCTTTTAAATAGTGAAAGTATTTTTAAAATCGGCTCAGTAGTTTTTGAGTTATTTCAATGCATACAAAAATATAAGATATACTCTTTATAAGATTCAAATAAATACACATTGACGATAATTTTCTTTGCGACATGTTTACAAACCACATTATTTCTGAGAGTTGAGGGTTCTTCCCAAATCCGATTTATTCTGGTTACACAGTGAACAATGAACCTTGACGCTCTTAATATATTCAAATAGAAAAATAGCATTTCAAAACTGATGTTTTACTGGTAGTTAAATCTTTGGTTTCATGAAATATGTTCGGTACAGATCGTACTGGTTCGCCACATTCGATACGAACATAATTTTGTATTTCGCGCCCCGGGTTTAGTGCGGGTAAGCGCGCTTATTTTATTTTTCTCGCACGGGCGGGTAGAAGAATAAACCCTCTCCACTACGGACGGGCGCGGGGCCTGCGGAGAGGGGTGCGAGGAAAAGGTCGGAATCGAGCAGCCAAGCGGAACGGTCGCGAACACTTGTGCGGATTAGAGTTGCTCTTTTGATAACGCGACGACACAACAGGCGTGTCGATTTCGGTAGCGAACGGGGTCGCTAAATTCGGTTTCGCGTTCGAAATTGCTGATACATCTTCAGGCAGTATCGCTGGGCCTATAGACTTGACTGAACCAGACTTTGACTCGATTGACACTGACTGACACACCACCTGCAGGAGGTGACGCAATTCATCGAGCTGGTGAGTACCATTTTTCCCCCTTACGTTTACAATATTATGCCCTCCGGTGCAATCGTTTGTTGTTTACATATACGTGTTTATATATACGTTCGTATTATTGGTCAAAATGTTTCGTGTATTTTTATTATATTGTAAATGTCCACTATTATTCCAAATAATATTAGAATTTGTGGGCAGCTAAGGTAAGTGTACCAGTAATTGATAGTCCGGTGTCAAAAGTTAAGTTGTCGAATATCCTATTATGCACCAAATCTGAAAGTACTAATTACTGGGTCTTTTACCTTATATCTTACTAATATTATAAATGCGAAAGTTTAGATGGATGGATGTTTGTTAGAGTTTGTAGCCCAAACGGCTGAATGGATCTAGATGAAATTTGGCATAGATTTAAAGGATAGTCTGGAAGAGCTACTACTTTTTTAATTCCACGCGGACGGATTCGCGGGCGAAAGCTCGTAAATAAATAAATACTACATTGAAAAAGATCGTATGAATAATGAACTTAGTTATAGACTTTTTTTTTACTTATTCTGTAGTCATAATAAATGTTTTGTTTTGACTAATAGCACGTACAGGTGAAGGCTGTATGGAAGGAAAGTAGGGGTAGGTCAATTAAAGTCGCAGAATTTATAATTAATTACCTCTTCAGTTTTGAGATAACGAACGTGTAATATGTTTTTAAATTCTTAATATTGTACATTTTATCTATACTATTATAATAAAGCGTAAACACACACTTCTTTGTTGCCTAAGATGTCAGCAATTACAGCATATTTTTGAATAATTCTTCTTTTAATAAAAAGCCCTACACTTACCTTACGCTTTTGGTTATACATTTTCACGTCATTAAACTTCGGGGTAAATATTTTGGATAAAATCCAAAAGTTGCTGCCAACATCAAGGAATCAAGGTTGCCATGGTTTGATACCATGTCATGTCATTTTGACGTTTGCAATTGATAATTTGACAAATGTAAACAATAAAATGATATTATTATAATTTTATGCGGATGAAGTCGCATGGGAAAAGCTAGTATGTTTAATAAAAGTTTTCCAATTTTAATAAAGACATTATCGTACGTCTACGTACTTTAAACGCTTTTTTCCTATTAGTAAAACTACTAGATGGTTTTTAATTATGAATAAAATTACCAAATGACACTCAATACTATTCAAATAAAAGAAATAACAATATTATTTTTACACAGTACTGAAAATTTCATTTAATAACTGGTTAAAATATTAAACTATTTTATTGTAGTTGTTCGTTTTTATGTTTTTAATATTTTTGCTATCTGTACATTATTGTAGTCGGCGACGCATGCGCGCACAGATCTCGCCGAAATTGTCCTCGCGCAATTTCCCGCCACTTTCCACGCTCCCCGTGTTTAACGTTGTGTAACTAACTGCTTGTGGTAATTCTATTAGCTAACACCGAACTTGACTATTCGATGATTACGTAAACACTGATCAGAGCTAACATATAAAAAAAGAAAACAAAAAAAATACATACAGACGAATTGACCTCCTTCTTTTGGGAAGTCGGTCAAAAAGACAATATTTCGCTGTTTTTTATCGGAAAACGGAATAAAAAACGAACAAAACATCCTCATATAAGAAAATTTCTTCTCGAATAATGTATTTATTGGGTAAGAATACTCTCAAAGCTATGAATGCGGAGGGATATACCTGTAGAGGTAGATCTAGAAAGAGATGGATGGATTGTATGAAAGGTGACATGATCAAGAAGGAAGTGACTGAGATGACGGATGATAGAGTTATTTGGAGGAAGAAAACCCGGTGCGCCGACTCTACGGGAGTAGGATAAGGCTGGGGAGACGTGTCTCAAAGCTACTGTTCAAGTGCGTAACGTACTCAGTTTCAATTCGCATCGGGACCTATTTAAATTCATTTTTTTTTAAAACAGAAAGCACTTTAAACCATTTTTTATATGATAAATATGGACACAAGCTTTGAAATTTAATTTAAAACTTAAAAAAGACAATTATTTCGTTCCAATAAAATAACTCAGTCATATAAAGATGTATGCTATCATATAATCCGAATAAGTAAACAAGAGTGTCGACAAGTAAAAAAAACGTTGAACGGAAGCAAAGGGTCGTCGCGGAAGGCGATATCCGGCATCCTGCTCACCCCTTTTTATTTAAACGCACAATTATAAAATTATTCGCTTGATTTCGTCGCGGCTTCTTGTAGCCGACGAGTTGAATTTAAATCGGCTCGTAATTCTCAAGTCAAGGGTGGTCTAACATTATGTAGTTAAAAATATTTATTTTGTTGATCAATGTACGCCATTTTGGGATACCTAATAATAAAAATGTAAAAGTAATTTTTGGCAATTAACATTTATTGGGCATTCAACTAATTTGTTACGTTCCACCCTTAGTTTTATTTACATTTAGTCCAATCTACTTATCGCATATAGAAATGTTATTTTTCATACTGTTGTAAATATTGCGAGATTCGATTATTCCTAGATTCAAAAGCAGCCCGCTCAATAATAGACCTCTTTAGGATTGTGAGCGCCATCTACCGACATACATTTTTATATATGCTTGTTCCTCTAAATTTTAAAACGCCTACAATTAAAAAAATAGCAACCTTTTGAGAATAAAGTTTTATCTTGTCACTCTCACCAGTTAATAAAAATAGTTTTGGGAATTTCAACAGATGGCGTTATTTACGATTTCACAATAAAAGTGTGCATTTTCCAAACATTCTATCATTGTTATTAATTACGTAAAATCTTTTACTACTTTTATCTTTGACTAGACAGAATTTGACAAAACTTTGGTAGAACATTCCTTTAACTTCATTTAGCCCTAATCTTTCTTTCTGCTTGGAATGGATGAAGTCAGGATTTTTATTACCACGTATCTGCAAAGCCGCTTAAAATATCTGTCTCGAGTACTACAGATAAATAAAACAGCATACACATTTGTTCCGTTTTTATTTCGTCCAATCATATCAGATTATCACATAGTATTCCTATCACAGAATTAGCGGTATGTTATACATTTGAGTACATTTATTTTGCTTCAATCGCGTTGCCGAGTGTCGCTTTGCACACGTATCCTTTAAGTGCGAGAACTCCCCTACATTTTATATGGACTTGATATCTTGCGCACCAATCAAGGTTATTACATCCAACGCCCGCGTCTGTTATCGTCTTTAGTGCTGCGAGGGAGAGGAGATCTGGAATAAAATAGCTGTTATCAACTTTTGAAACATTTTTTGTTTAAAACATCTCGTATATAGTTTAATTTTACACACATTGGATGGCGCTTGAATGTAAATCTGATCTTATAGATGACGCTACTATATGAAATTACACTAAACCGTGGTTTGCGATAGATGGCGCTAGTAGTATGAAGCAATCTGCTGCTCCATAAGAGATGGCACTACTGGTAAAACTCACATAATGAAGCGCCATCTATACAATTCATTATGTAAGTCTAACATATTGAATAATAATAGATGGCGTCATCAGTATCACAAAAAAATTGACAGTTGACAAAAAATGTCGTTGCATGTAAAAATATACAGACGAATTGAGTACCTTCTTCTTTTGGGAAGTTGGTAAAACAGAACATTAGATTTGAGTGTAGAGGTACACAAGTTAGACTTAGAAAGAGATTTTTAGTTTAAATCTTTGATAGGTAAAGCGGGGATTTTTGTATTGGGATTAGAAAGAAATGTATGTATGAGTGTATTGCGTAAGGTGACATGATCAAGAAGGGAGTGATGATAGATGAGATGTAATAGTTACGTGGACGACAATAACTAGCTCCGCAGACCCTACTGGAGTGAGAGAAGTGGGAAATTGATGAATTGACAATAGATGGCGTTAGTACGAGAGAGAGGGGGGGGGGAGGGAGAGAGAGCTTACCGGGAGGGTCAGCGTGCGTGAGGAGCTGCACGTCGTTGGCGCGGCAGAAGGCGTGCAGCGCGGGCGGCACCACGCAGCAGGAGGCGAGGTTGATCTGCGCGATGGCGGGCTTGACGCGCGCCCACGCGTGCAGCTTGCGCAGGCAGCCGCCGCCCACGTCCGCCACGCCCAGCTGGTGCACGCGCCCTACGGACATACATACATACATACAATAACAAGTATTATATTACTATTATTCCGCGTTTCGTCTGATGAGTGTGGTGTCGAAGGCATATTGTTGGTCACTTTCCCTTTCCAGAGTTCAGTTGGAGGAGACACACATGAAGAGGATGTTTACCCTTCGTATTCATCTCCACCGTCAAATTCACGTTCCCTTCCCATCATATTCTTATGAGGGAAAGGGACTAAAGTTGGGTCTCCGGCACCACAATCATTAGACTGTAGGCGGAATTGCTCCCACTTCAAGCCTATTTTCTGTGTGGTCGTGGTATTGCTGGGGGCGAGCCGGCCCTGCAGTGCGAAGATGTTAAAGCTGGCTTGACAATAACAAATATTTTATTACTAGCTGGTGGCTGCAATTTAGACCGTGTGGAATTAAAAAAAGTGAGCCTATGTGTTCTTCCAGACTATCCTCTATAGAAAATTTCATCGAAATCTTTAAAAATAATATTTAAATATCCTTGAAAATATGTTACCTTCTTTAACATAATCTTCTAGTACTGCCCACAGCACTTTGATACCGGGCAGTATTGCTTCGCACTTCCTCGCGTCAGCCTCACTGTCGGCTTCCATCTCCGTACTTGATAAACGACCTGGAAAAGAAAATACGTCTCAAATTAAACATAATTATGAAATAACTAGCTTTTACCCGAAACTGGGGTCTTTACCAACCGTCACCCCGCTCTGTCCCCACGTGAGAAAAAGTTTCATCCGTCCCACCTTTCAGTCAATATCACCAATAACAGATAGAAACATTATGAAATAAATACATAGCTTTTATATTACTTTATTAATATTCACAAGTTTTTGTGTAAGAACGCCGTCAAATTTAAAATCAACATCTAACTGAAATATTATTTTTAAAAAAACACTGGATATACTAATTTCATACATCATTTCAAATATCTTGACAGTTAGATGCAGTGCGCTGTATTAACTTGTGCGATGTTCCGAGCATTCAAGACATTTGAAACACACTATACTGGTTACTTTCACAAAACAATATAATTGTAACAACGCAATTAAACACTCAGACCACTGATCCAGGCAGAATGGCGCGCTATTCTACGTCTGTATGACATTGACAGCTGTCATAGGGATGGGACGTCTATACCGATGAGCTAGGGTTGTGTCGATTTTTTTCTTAATTTTTTTTATAGAATATAAGGTGGCAAACGAGCGAGCCACCTGAATCCACCGAAATGGAAAGTGACCGCTGCCCATAAACATCAGCAATTGCAGATTGCGGTCTGATTGATTGATCGATTGATGCCTACCCTTCATTGACAGAGGAGGAGACGCACATAAAGATGACATATTCCCTTCCTATACGTCTCCACCGTCAAATCCACTTTTCCTTCCCATCCTTTACTCTTAAGAAAAAGGTGGAAAGGGAAAGGCACTAAAATTAGGCCACCGGCACCACACTTATCAAACGAAACGCGGACTTGCTTCCACTTCACGTCTGTTTTCTGTGTGGTCGTGGTATTACACCGGACGAGCCGGCCTATTCCTGTGAAGATGTTAAAGCGGGCTCACTGGGCTAGGGCTGTGTCGATTTTCTTCTAAAAATTACTTACCAACATTACTTCCCAATGATATAGGCGAGGCTTTAGTGAATGTGTTCTTCAGATTAGAATCATCTAACGCCTCCTCCTTATACAGCAAGTCAGGATTGTACGCCAGGATAACATTCTCTATGAACTCTGTACGTAACGCTGTGAATACTGGAATAGAAAAATAAGTCCTTAGTATAAAAACTTATTGTTTAAAATACTCTTTAGTTTAACGTCGATCCCTTTATAGTCCTACAAAGATCTTATGGCAGTTTTTTCACATTGACTGTTAGCAAAAATTTCCCAACTTTTTTCGAAATTCCCCGAAAATGTTAAAAACTTTAATACATCATAAATTAATACATCTTTACATATTGATACATGTTTAAGATTATTTAGGTAAACACGAGGTATATTTTACAATTTATTGCGACTTCGTTCGTGTGTAATTAAAAAAAAATAATCTATGTTACACACAGATAAATTATCTTTCTAACAGTAAAAGAATTTATAAAATCGGCCTAGCAGTGTTTGACTTAATTAAATACATACAAAAATACAAATCTTTCCGCTTTGTAATTTTAGTCTAGATTGTTCAGAATTGTGCCTCGAATTAAACGAGTAATCGCCAGTCAGCGCATGTTACATTTTTTAGGAATTACGTATTTATAAATATGGTAACATTTACCCGTGTAGTTGCCGCTCCATCTGTCAAATACGCTTTCAAGATTGCTAGTTCACAAATTTGCCAACTGTTGTATAATCCTTGTAGGTCTATACCGTGGATTTTCGACAAATAATAAGTAGTTATTGTATTGCGTAGGCTCTTGTACTTTTATCTTATTAAACCCGCGTATACGAAATTTCAAAAACACGACAGATAAGAAATCACTAACGCGGAAGTGAGCAAAACTAGATTAGATAAATATTAACAAAAGATCTTTAATTTATTATTATATATAGTAGTATGTAAATACTAGCTGCTGCCAACGACTTTGTCCGGGTAGAATATAAATCTGCGACAAAATTCATCGAATTCCGTTAGTAAAATCCATCATCCATCCAAAATTTCGAATATATAATCTATGCATATAATAAAATTGAAGACTATGTTTTTAATATAAAAAAATGCAGATTTCGGAAAGATAATGTATTTGGGTTGCTTATAACGAAAAATTGCATTTAAAACTTTTTGGTCTTCCTTTTTGTGTCTGTCCGCAAGCTGTTTTGTTCTGGGCAAACTCCGAAACGGTTGGGCCGATTTTGACTGGGCGTTCACTGAATGGTAGCTGACATAGACGGGCATATTACAGGCTACTTTTTTAGTTCATACTGGGTGGAAGTCGCGGGCATTAGCTAGCATTAGTATAAAGTATAAAACCGGTTTTTTAAAACGTAAGTCATTTAGCGTAACTATTTTTTATTTATTGTCATTATTTGCTGATTACTGCTTCATAACAGAAATTGTTTAGCCTTAAGGCGTTTAGGTGCCGTTTTTTAATCGCCATAACTGGCAAGATTAATCGATATCATATTTACCTCTCATTCTTTCTATTAACGTTATATCTTTTTTCTCTTTCTTGTAACGAAATACACCTAGAAGTGACGCGGCCTTGAAATCTTAATACCTATTCTTATAATATTTTACTAGCTTTAGCCCGCGACTCCGTCCGCGTGGAATTTAAAAACATAGTACCCTATGTGCTTTTCCACAATATCCTCTACATCCATACCAAATTTCGTAGAAATCAGTTCATCCGTTTAGTCTACAAACTATAACAAACATCCATCCAACTAAACTTTCGCATTTATAATATTAGTATGATTGAGACCTAAAGTTTCTTTAAATCACTTGTTTGTAAAATCACGAGCAAATCGATACGCATGACAGATAAATAAACCATTTACTGTAATACATAATCATTTACTGTAGTAAATAAACAAAGCATGTATTGAAGCGTAGTAGTACAAGGTCACGTTGCTCGTTTGTACAAAAACGACCTACATACGTTATGTACTGCGTAAAACGAGATTTTAAGCCATCCCGGCTTTTATATTTAGGGTAGTCAGAGTTAAGAATATGTCAATTGTAGACTGTTCCATTATTCCGACTGCAGTCGCATTTATGGGAAGATATAGGTGTTTTTTTTTATTTTTTTATTACTGTCTATGTCAGATGTGATTCAAAATAAAGTGTAACAGTAAGGACGTTTGCTATTATAAGAATTACTATAAAACATTGCACTGAAAAAATCCACTTATCTCACTTATCTGCAATGATCCCACAATTTTGGGTAAGTAAAAAAGGGGCTAATAATACATTAATTTATTAGATTCTTTTAGTGTACATTTCCGTTACTATAAGTATAGTCAACTAATATATTCCTGATTTCCTTGAAGCGTGAAATTTGCGATATAGTTTTTGGAATTAATAGCATCAAAAATATAACCATGACGTATGACGTAAACGTGTACCTACGGTTAATATTTCGTAATATTTAATTGTGAACTAGAGTTTGTTGCACAACTGGATGATACAGCGTTTTTAGCGTATGACTAACGATATTACGTCACTATTCTTCGAGTTAACAAAATATTTGAATATCAATTTTCTGTACAAAATAATCAACCAGCGTAATAATACATGTCTATTATAGACTCCAAATGTACCTAGTATGGCTTACATAGGCCGGGAGTCCCACACGAAATTGTCCAACGGCGCAGTGCGTTAATGTATTCCACGAGACAAAAAAAATGGCTTTCATCTACTTATTTGTATAGGTTTTCGATTGAATCAACTCTATTCATTATTAAGTTTTTTTATTTCTTTTTAAAAAATACATCCGTGTATTTTTAGTAAATATCAGCTAGATAATATCTACAATTGGCAAACATTATCTTATCGGACCTCACTTACCAACCGTGATATTGCGGTGGTTGTTTTGGTCTAACGTTTTTCATAATTCTCATTTACTTATCTATATTAATATAATAAAGCGTAAACACACACTTAGGTAGGATTAGTAGAATTACGTAGAGTATCGGCAATCACAGTATATTTTTGAATAGTTCATTTTCTAAATAAAAAGCCGTAAAAAAACCTGATGCGAGAAAGGGACAGAAACTACAAATAGCAGCAAGGTAACGTTGCCATGGTAACTGTAATTGTTAGCCAATGACAAAGATCTTCATTGTCATCTAAGCAATTAAATATAAAAAAATAAATAAAGTTCTTTGTAATATGCGGATAAAAACGCACGGGAATAAATAGCGATCTATTAAAAGAGGGGTAATCCATTTTTAAACTCTATTTCCAATAGCAAAAAGTTCGTTCTATATAAATGAACTAGATTTCACCCGCGACTCCGTCCGCTTGGAATTAAAAAAACTAAATAGCCTCTGTGTTCTTCCAGACTGTACTACATCTATGCCACATTTAATCGAAATCCGTTCAGCAGGCTACAAACTCAAACAAACATCCTTCCATCCATCTAAACTTTCGCATTTATAACATAAGTAAGTTTACCCTTTTCTAAACATTCCGTCAACGCGGATGTACTGTCTTCGTTGATAAAAATCTTAACACCGATCTTCAGATTCTTTCGTTCCTCCTCCGCCATTTTGTTTTGTACATCATCGTGTGGCCTCGTTATGTTAAGTACCGCTTCTCTCGGCGCCGTGGATGTTGAGACCACCATATAATCTGAGTGGATCTGCGATGTCCTAGGATTTGAGTCATCGTTTATTCCGTTCTGAACTGGCATTTCATTTTGATTACCCCATTCTGATAACGTCAGTTTTATACTTTCTGATAACTGGAAAAAGATATTAAATAATCATTAAGTAAATTATTTAACAATATTCTAAGAGTTTGTAGGTAGTAACAAAAAATATGATAAAACACGCGATTAAATCCGCAAGATGGCCGACGGACAGTGGCGCCATTTATACCTCAGTCAATAATATCTCTGACAGCAAGCAGAACAGACATCACCTATTTCAGTTTGTAGCATTTTATATGTTATCTTAAAATTATTGTACCAATTTTATTATTACAATAAATAAATTATTATTTATACTCGTCTGATAGATTTTATTCAAGTAACCCAAAATGATCAAAAAGAGAATTAGAAGAAATCCTCTTTTAATAAAACAAAATTTAAAAAAAATTAAAAATACTATTAATCAGTAATTGGTAAAAAAAACTCCATCCTAAATATTATTTAGTAAAATTACATCCCGGTATTCTAATAAAAACAACATATTAACATTCAAAACACAATTATTGTACAATGCAGACAAATGTATGCATTAGATTTTCCTGTTTAAAGTCACTGTTCATTGAAATTTTCTCCATATTGTCTGATAATGTGTAAACATCCTAGTTGATTGATGCATTGTTTTGACTGAAAGGCTACCATATTGTACCAAGTAACACTAGCTGTTGCCTATGACTCTGCATGGAAATAAAAAACATAAGTAACCTAAGTGTTCTTTCAATGTCCTACATCTATACCAAATTTTATAGAGATCTGTTTAGCCATTTAGGATGCACTCTAACAAACATCCATCAAACTTAATTTTTGTTATTACAATATAAGTAACGTAAAATGAGAACAAGAAATAAATACAGGAAGTGTTCAAGAATTTCTGTAAATAATTATGTTAAATTATCCCATAAAAATTGTTTCAATTTGTTTTAATGACAAATAATTTAATTATTAAATTTATTTATAATTTGATATTCTGTGTTGTCTGAATATATTTAGGCTATAATGAAAATATTAAGGTACTGATGTCTAATTTAAATAAGATTCTTATAAATTTGGGTTAACAATCATGTTTAAATTATTTAATAAGGAAGACATAAGACGAAAATTTAATTGGATAAGTTATTTTTAGTTAGACTGTTCAGTGGTTAAATCGAACAATATAATCAAATTGTATAAATAACTTACGAGGAAAGAATCAAGGTTACATGGCCATGGTAATTCCGATAAATTTACTAACCTCTTCAGTAACATTTTGCCCAGCCTTTTTCTTAATATCGATCAAGTTGAGAACATTTCCAGTATTAATAGTCACTTTGGAGGCACTCTTTAACATCGTGACCGACGAGATTTTTACTTTTTTTATTATAGTAACGTAACCAAGGTCTAAGGCGTACCAAGGTTGCCGGTTTATGTAAAAAAAACTATAGAGCAATACTTGAAAGACAAGTTAAACCGAGAGGACCGTACGCCAAAGGCGACACTGATAAACTGAATTCTCGCGGCCTTGCATTGCACGAAAGAACCACTTTATATCATATCAGCTGTTTATTAGATATGACGTATTTACAGGTACTATGACGAAAAATTATTGTTAGACTGAGTGGGCTCCATTATCAGTTTATTATCATTCACTATTGTAGAACCATGATTAAAAGAAAGGTGTGGTTTTTGCAAGATATGAAGTAAAGGAAAACAGAAATTTATCAATCGCTCTGTGATAGTTCCAAAGAAAATAAAAGCTAGTGTTGCCATTCATTTTTTTGCAAATTCTTACTGGAGTTTTCAGAGACGAATGAAATGTTTTAGCCATTTTAATTTTACTCATTACCATTATATATAAAATCTAGAGACCCACCGGACTTTAAAAGTATCTTATATCTTCAACTTTATATATCAGATGCGAACTTTTGAATTATATCTTCTATTTGTGAAATGAAACGTTTTGTGTTATCAATAAAATGTCAACCGATGCAAAATGTCTGTCATTGTCATAATTAGTTTCAAGTTTCATTGACCCTGTTCTGTTTCTGTGGTTTTAAATATTTTACTTTTTAAAACTCTCGACTGTGTAAAAGTAATTACTTTGAATTAGAAATCAAATAAGCATCTCATAATGGGCGTTGATATTTTGGGATTTGCTTACGCTGCTACCGTAGCGGCCGGCGGAATTATGGGTTACGCTAAAGCAGGTCAGACTAGATTCTGTTATTGTATAACAACCGGCTAATAACGAGTGGTTTATATTTTTTCTTCTGGAAATAAATTCTTTATCAAATCACAAAATGTAATAAAACGACACTCAACAATTGTAAGGCCGATGACATTTTGTTTTTATTTGATAAGATAATGGCCTAAATTTTCTAGATTATTCTTAAATAGGACTTACTTTTGGACGTACTATTTAAAAAGCTCAAAACCATTGACTTGAAATATTGACATTAGTATATTTTTCCTACCAATGCATCTCCACCGTCAAATCCAATTTCTCTTCCCATATTTTCCTCATGAGAAAAGAGTAGGATGGACTAAAATTTGGCCTCCGTCACAGACACTCATCAGAAGAAACGCGGAAATCCTCTATTTTCTGTATGGTTGTGGTATTGCACAGGGCGAGCGACTCTATTCATACTAAGATATTCAAACATAAATTTTTCGGCCTAGTCACTCCTAACTAAGGGTAAGCTCTGAGCCCCTCAGTGAGGATGTATAGTGAGCTGGGGATGATAATGATTACTTATTAAAAACATTTCACATAGACTATTTGCTTATTCACTGTGTTTCCACTGCTATAACTCTAACTTGGAAACACACTTATCTCAATTTATTAAAGAGGAACGAACACAATATGTTATTGTACTGTGTTTTGATAGTACAATCTCATATTACTTAAACATAATGATCATAAATCAAAACATTTGATTAACAGTTATAAACACTTAATTAGTTATGACTTGGGTTAATTTTTAGATAAGTACAATAGTAAAATTCTGTTTTAATTTTGGCAGTTGTGAGATATCTTGGCAACTGCGAATTGCAAGACATGCACAGCACTCAATTTTACTAGTAGTTGTAAAGAGATAAGGAAGAGGGTACTGTGCCTTGACCTCAGAGATATTTAAAAAGAATTGTTTTTATATATTTTAATAGAGCTTTTGCTCCACTTAAAATTTTCATAATAATTTTAAATTAAGGTTTTTTAATATGTTACTTTTTTATTTCAGGATCAATACCATCTTTGGGAGCAGGACTTATTTTCGGATCAATCCTAGGTAAGTCGAAATAATTAATACAATATTTTTGTTAGTTAAAATCGTTAACACAGAGAGAGCCTATTCAATTGATACTAAACTGACTTGCCAGGTATATTATGTTGGTTTATTCCAGTTCCACTGTGATCTGGAATGTGTAAATGGATATCATTGCTTGGAAATGACAGGCTTTGATATGTTAAAATTAATAGTGCCAGTTGTTGACAATGGTACTGTGAACAAGCACAGTACTGCACAGTACTGAGGCAAAAATGAAATAGACTTAAAATACAACTTCTTAGCCTGTCCATTTATAGAGATCAGTGCCATAGTCTAAAAAAGTGAATTGGTTTTCACAAGTGAAGTCATTTGTTTTTTTTATTAACAAATGTATTGGTTTTATTACTGATACTTACATATTTTATTAAAAATTGTCTTCTTAAAGTGTTCACACACCTGAAACTAAACTATCGCACAACTATATAGTCTTAATTTAATTCTTATGAGCTTATAACAAGGTGTACATGTTAGTTTTTTAGTTGTGCACTCGCTCTTATTGTAGACTTTAAATTTCAGGTGTAGGTGCATACCAGCTGAGTCAAGATCCCTCAAACTACACTCTCATGTTAGGCACCACAACAACTCTCGGAGGTCTTATGGGATACAGGTAAGAATTTAGAGGAATCTTATGTAGGGATTAAGTAATTAATCTTATTTCATATAAGCGAAAGCTTAGATGGATGGATGTGTTTTACTAAACACAAAGCTTGTGATTGTCCATTAAAAAATGTCCTGTATATCTCCAGAAAAACTAATTTAATGTTCCTGAAATTTGTCCTGAAAAAAATCCTTTTTTATATATTACTGAAAAAAAAAAATCCTTTTTTTTATATTACTAGTTGTTCCCGTGTAGCTTCATCCGCATGAAATTATGAAAAATCTTATTTTATTGTTTACATTTGTCAGATTATCAATAGCAAATGTCAAAATGACATGACATGACAAACCTTAGCAATCTTGATTTCTTGATGTTGGCAGTAACTTATGATCTCGTTCCCACATTAGGGTTTTTATCCAAAATATTCATTTCCTAACTTTAATGTAAAAATATATAGCTTAAAGCGTGAAGTAAATGTTGTGCTTTTTCAAAAAAAAAACATTAAAAAAAGTAAGCTGTAATTGCTGACATCTTAGGCAACAAAGAAGTGTGTGTTTATGCTTTATTATAATAGTATATATAACAACAAGTGGATCCATAGCTTACAAATTTTCTTGCAGATTTTACAACAGCAGAAAGTTCATGCCAGCAGGTCTAGTATTTGTCTTGTCTGTGGGAATGCTTGCAAAATTGATGGTCAAAAATGTTGGAACAAAATCAGCATTTCCCGTGAAGACAGGTTGAAGATTGACATTTTACAAGTTCTAATTTAGTTTTAAGAATGTTTATGTTTAAGAAAACTCAATTCCTTGAAAAGGGAATTTGTCAATTTTATACTCTGTGAACAATTTTATTATCTGTGGATTTAATTTTATTTCTTTATCTGTAACGGGTTTCGATATATCTGTGGATTGTTATTAATTTATTTGTTAAAAAATATGTATAAAATAGTCATTGGTGTTGGAATATGAAATTTGTATTGGGTACAAATAAATAAATAAAACAAATGTTCAGTTTTGTTATTTTCTTATAATCTTCGTTCTTAAAATTTACACAATTTGGACGGATAATAAATTGCTCATATATAAATAGTTTGTATTTATAATAAATAGTTAGCAATCAACGGCAAGTGATGTATTTGAGCTCACTACAGATATTCAGATACTGCCAAAGCAAAAATCAAGAATTTAAACTACTGGTAACTTTATTTTAAAACATATGTCACATAAATAATTTTTTAGTTATTAAAAACAAGCTTAAATTAATCTAAAAACATCAATATTTATATTTAGAATGAATTTAAAACCAAAAATATAAAAAAAATAACTAAGTCGAAGTACTAATTGTTCAGAAAATGCGAACCAGTCGCCGTAAGCTCAGTTTTCATTAGAAAAGATAGTTCTAATAAATCTCTTATATTAACTTGATAAAAGGCACTACTTGGCAGTTTCATTTTTTAAACTAAATATTTTACAACCGTTTCTAAACGTACGTCCATAGACTAAAAAGAGAGTATTGCTCTATGATTCCAAAACCAAATCGCAAACACAACGGCTCCATATTGGATACTCCGAACGTATTTAAACGAAAAAAAAAATATCCTAATGTACTTATAGTTCATTAATAGTTACACAATCACATTGTTATATCACTCACAGAACTGTGTCTGACACTTTTATAGTCACGTCTTCAGACACATTTTACACACGTACAAGTGCGACACAATCCCGCAATTACCCGCTGAATATTGATATACTTTTTAGAAACAAAAGTTGCCAGTATCAACGGCATAGATTTAAAAAATATTACATCTGTCCGTGATACAATGGCGTGACGAGTATACAAACACTTGCTATCTCTGTTTTATTCAAAGAGAATGAGTGGGATGGCTTAACGTCTAATTGTTACGAAAATTGAGATTCACTGTAACATGAATTACGAATCGTTTTATTTTATGACAACAATATTCTTGTGTACGGGATTGTGCGCACGAAACACAATCTGTATTAAGTAGGGGCTGGAAGTGGGGACTGGCGTAGTGAAGACACCATGGCTCAGGCAGACGGTGTAAGCACCAGTAGTCTCATATTCCAGCGCGGCAGTCTTCAGGGTTTTGTCCGCTCGTTTCGTTAATGGCGGCTGCTGGGAACATTAATATCATATTAACTAAAAATAAGATTAAAATGGACTCATAAGTTGAATAACATTATAGTGACAGATTACAAAAGTTAGGTTATATATTTTTTACTTCTGTATTTTATCTGTGGTAAATCAGCTGTTTTGCAAAAATTTAAATAATGGACGATGTTAGCTAATGGCTACATTTAATTATTAACAGAAACTTGATAAAATTCAAAAACATTTAATTTGTAATCCGTGTCTAAATTAAGTGAATTCATTCAATTTTTTAAATGATAAAAGTGATGTGCATTGTAAGTGATATCAGATAAAAATATAAGACAAAACTTTTATAACTGAAATTAAATTCGATAAAATTTACTCTTGTCGGCATACATCGTACGATTAGTACACTCGCAGATGACCTTGAGCCGAGTCAAAGATATTTGGAAAATACTAAAATATGTTTGTAAATGAGAGAATGAAGTAAAACGCTACTTGAACAACTAAACTAATAGACATCAAAACAAAAGAAAATACTGAAGGAACTTCTAAGTTCATGCTCAAGAGTTGAGAAATGTATTCTGTTGAGTTTTCCACTATAGAAAAACTTGTATGAAACATTGTCTCACAGTGAAATTGCAAAGTAACAATTCTTAATACATCTACAAGTTGTAATGTATGGTGACTTTGGACATGTATCGAAATGTTTTGGTAAGTATTTGGAAGTATTCATGATTTTATTTTTATGTACACATGGGTTTTGTGGACGATTTGGTTGCAATCTGTTTGGTGACATTAAAATGATCATAGATTAAAAAATAGAGTATCTACATTGTTATTATTTGGCAGTTTTTAGGCATTAACTACATTTGAAATTATTAAAATGTTATGCATATTTTATAAAACGAGTTATGTTTTATTCGCGAATTTTACAATTTATCTTAATTTTCAAATCATGACGTATATAGAATCAATCTAAATTCATATATTATCTGTTAAATGTATACTTTTTAATAAACTGTTCAAAAGAATAGAACAGATTGCAACCTGTGTAATACGAAAGTAATGTAAGAGTGAAACGTGCGAGAATCCATAGATGTGGAAGGCATGAAATCCAATGAGGCGACTGGAAGATGATCCATGCGGCCCAAACTCATTCTTAATACCTTACCAATAAGTGTTAATTTGGCACATCTTTCCTATGTCTGTATCAACTCCCCGGAGGTAAGGTTCCTTTGGTAAGAGAAGACCAGTCTCGCTGGCTCTATTTGAACTTGTTGGGAATTCGCGTCCGGTCTAATCGAGTTGTCGTTTGCTTTCGCTTGGGAATAATAAGTTCCTATTTTGAAGAGGGATTTGATTCCTTTATCTGGGAATGGATTCTTAGTTGTCGGTTTAAAGTAACTGTCCAATTCGTCCTTGTTAAAGAAACCACGTTTGGTTGATTCTGTTTTTTCAATTGGTCTTAATGTTGTGAAATCTTTAAAGTCGTATGGACTTCTTGTGGTGGATATTCTGGGCAGAGTACTCTTTGTGTCGATAATTTTGACACTGACAGTTGTCGGTTTTTCCGTTTTATACTCTGTGGTCTTCCATGGGTTATAATAATTGTATTTGTAAGGCCTCTCTGTTGTTGTTGTGGTGGTTGTTGTTGTTGTAGTTGTAGTTGTAGTTGTTGTTGTTGTTGCATTTTCTGGGTTTGTATTCATTTTGTAACTTGAATAGTAGTTTTGTCGGTATGTTACAGATGGCGCTCGTGTGCTAGCTACGTATGGTTTTGTCGTGTCTCCGGTACTGTGCACGTGTTTGCAAAAAATAATTTATATTAGTAATTGTATTGCAATGTATTGTATTCTACACCAACCGACTGGGAAATGAGACAAGGGAGATCTCATTCGTCCGCCAGTATTGTGATTTTAACATAAACTGCTTAAACATACTTCTTAAATCATATCTTAATAACAGACCAGGCATATATCATAGAAACATCACACACGAAATCTCTTATTTTTAACTCAACATACGTATTGTCTTATTCGGTAAAAAAAGTAGATTTTTCAAATTTAAAGTTTTCCTTTAGTAATAATTATGTGGCTGTGAGTTTTTAGACTCTTAAACTATATAAAGTTAACATTCTATGTACCAAAAGACACAGACCTCGTGACATTTCCGAAGAAGGGGCTAGTTTCTGGGCGCACGTAGCTCGGCGTGTGCTGCGAGTAGTCGGGGATTATGTTCTCGTGCTCCGTTATACAGCGCCCGTTTATACAGTACTGGAACAAACAAGTGTTAGATCAGAACAGAAAAAGAAAGAAAAGAAGTCAGAAAGAAGAAAAAAATTAAAGAATGCAGAAATAAGAAACTGAAAAATTTGCTATTTTTTTCCACAGGCGTCTTCTGTTAAAGCACATAAAAATGTTTCTTTAAATAAGGTAGCATCATATAGGAATCGAAAGAAAAAATTCAGGTTTCGCGAAGATGATGTATTTAAGTTGCTAATAACGGAAACACATTTAACAACTTTTTTTCCAATTTCCAAAAACGGGCTTCCGACGAAACTTTCACTGGAGAGTAGCTGACATGGACGGGTATATTATAGGCTACTTTTTTGATTCCTTGCTAACGATATTTGCAGGCGGCAGCTTGAATAAAGTGGTTTAATATGATTATACCTGTCCATCCCCGCAGGGCGAGCCCTCTGCGGCAGGCCTGTACGCCACGCAGTAGCCGCTCGCTGCGTCGAAACAGAACAGCTGCGCGCACACACGCTCGTCCTTGAAGCACGCGCTGGAAAAGTAAATATAGGAAATTATCTATGTTTTAATATCCAAAGGACAGAAAATACAAAAAAAGTACGATCAGTACACGATGTAACTATCGACATTATGTGATTTGTTACTATCTATATCCAAAACAGCTGACAGATAGCAAAGAAATTTGACACAAATACAAAATTTAGTCTTAAAGAACACATAGACTACTGAATATATTTTTTTAATACTGTGCGGACGGATTTGCGGACAAAAGGTTGTAATTAATTTTTTTTTTTTATAAGATAAGGTGGCAAACGAGCAAGCGGCACCTGAATCCGCCAAAATGGCGAAGCGACCGCTGCCCATAGACATCCGCAATTGCAGATGCGTTGCCTACGCTTTTCCGACAGAGAAGGAAACGCACATGAAAAGAATATCTCCCCTTCCTATGTATCTCCTTCACCGTCAAATCCACTTTTCCTTCCCATCCTCTCCTTATAAGAAAAGGGTGGTAAAGATAAAGGGAAGTGTAAAGAAAGGGGAGTTGCCCTTTGCTGCTATTTAGTTTTTTTTTTCTCTTTAGATTGATAAATCTGTTATGGTTATTAAGCTTATTTTATTATTAGTGTGCAGCGACCTCCGACTATCTACGCTCCCTTTTACATCTTGGGGGGTTGGCTGAAATCCAGCTCGACATTGGATCTCAACCAGTATCGGTTAAGCTGAGCCTCCTTGCCATCTGTTACAATTTTTTCATGTATGTATTTTATTTAGTACTTAACTCTGTATGTATTCTTGGATGGCAATAAGGAGGTTTTTATTTATTTATTTAAAGAAATTGGAAGTGAGATTAATACGAAGAGAGTTTTCTAGTGTCCTTGATGAGTTATGAATGTTTGTTTGTATGTGCATGACATAAACCTGGTGCCTCTATCCTTGCGGCACTGCGCGTCCAGCGTGAGCAGGCGGCCCGGCAGCACGCGCGGCAGCGAGTCGTCCTCGTGCGGCGAGTTGTACAGGCACGTCGCCGTGTCGCCGCTGCAATGTCACAATATTTAAGGGAGACACTTAGTGTAGATTGTATAAACGTAACCAATGTATCTAGTAGTAAAGAAAAGTGTAAGTCAGAAGAATATATTCAAATGAAGCTTTGTATAAATTACACTAGGTATCGATTTCAGAACAAACTGGAAAGTTACGTTAGTTAGTAATATTTAACCAAATAAATCTGAAGAGAAGGTTGACTATGTCCTAGTGACTATAATTTAAGGTAGAGTCCCTTAGCGGGGATGTATAGTGAGCTGGTAATGATGATGATGAAGACTGAAGAGTTATACTCACTTTAAAAAGTGATGGAAGCTTTGTACACTGCACGGTGACCACCTGAATCCTTTCTCTGTGTGTCTGAGATCTGACATGATGAAGCCGTCCTCCCATCTGCATTTCTCCGCACCGGGACCGCCGAGGTACGATGGAGGCGGGCTACCATCGTGAACTGCTCCCAACCTGAAAGATTATTAAGAAAATCAATAAGTACATTGCATGAATCTTGATAAGTTCTCGAATAATTGTCAATTCTTTTTTAGACTCTTAGTAGCCAGTAGAGGATTCTAAGTGAAGTGATAGATTTAAATATTATTTCACGTAATAGTTTCCTAACCAAAACTAACTCTTAAGTTTTAACCTATGTAGGATTTGTACTCTGTTTTACGTCAAGGTCAAATCAGAAATCAACATCCGTTGACTTTGCTCTACATTTTATCATTTTAAAAACAAAAGAAATAGCAGTATCCTTGGCAATCTTTAATCTTTTAGTGATATCAAAAAATTACTTACAAATGACCGACTTCGTGCGCAGCGACGATAATCCCAGAGAAGCCGCCGGTGTCCTCAATAATAGCAACTGAATTGACTTTTTCTAGTCTTTTGTTCACAACACACGCTCCACCCACGTATGCAAACCCTGTATGTTATATAATATTAAAACTCGTGTAGAAATAAGTAATTAAAAATAAAAATTGTGTAACTTTAACTACTGGCAATACTTTAAATTTCAAAATTAACAGAAAAAAAAATTGCCAAAGACTACAATATGGTTTGGACTTATGTGAATATCAAAGAAATGTGTGAAAAAGCAAAAATCTACAAGGAATTGTATCGAACAAAAGGAAATAAGGAATCAATGACAATGTAGGGTAGTTGAAAATTAATGTAATTTTTAAAGTGGAAATGTAGGTACTTACATGACATGTTTGAATATGTAGATATAGTAAATAATAAATATCAAGAACTAAATAAGTATATAAAATAGTGTAATATCTATGTTAGTCATGCAAAGCTATATTTTCTATTAATTTCGAGAACCAATAGCCTATTCTATTATTTGTCTTATAAGCTACGTAGATCCTTTACCGTATATTTATAAAGCAATATTTACATAATTTGAATAGATACTTCAATAAAAGCATGCAATTTTTTAAAACGATTAACTACATTTTATTATTTACATAATAGCATGCAGTTTCTATTTGAAAAAAAAACTATAAGTATATAGCGGCCAGTACTTATTTCAATTGAGTTCATTTTTTATCTGTAAGTCGTTAATTTATAGTTTTATAACTAGAAAGATTTTGATTTGAAAGAGATTTTAGATTGTCTATTATTACTTTTTAGTCGAGTATTTCCTGAATTGATCTTTTACTTTATTGCACAGATAATCATTATAATTTATAATTGGATGTCCTGGAGATGGTTAGGTGTGTAGTTTACTGTGTCCTCGTGTCATTTAAGTAAGGTAGGGCCGACTGGTCTGTGCGTTTACGCAACTTTCTTATTACTATACGATGTTCTACTGATCTTTTGAAACGGTCCTCGTAAACCAATAAATATTTTGTAATAAATAGGTGGGTAAATATTAACTAACATGCAAACTATAGACACTAATAATATTTCCTATAAGCTAAAGCATGCTTTTTATAATACAGTACGTACAAGTCATTTACAACGATGAAGTCATATCTAAAAAAAGTAATAAATAATGGTCATAGACAAAGTGATACCTAAACTACATGATAGAATATCTATGTACATGAAAAATAGGAAATCAACTAATAGACTGCTAGAGATAGATTATTGACAAGTGCTGATGCAGTCACGGAATCAGGTAGTGGATATTGCGGTAAGGGATATGATCCCGTTGTGAAGTGTAATAGGAGTGGGATTTGAATAAGGCGTGCCCATGAATGTACGAATCACGCGTACCTGCTGTCCCCCTATTGCACGCATCGTTTGCATATTGTCTCCTGCACATGTCTAGTCTGAAAGCGATCGAAATATACTGAATAAGTTGCTAAAAATCCCTTTCTCTATCAAGAGTAGGGTAATGTCGGCTTTGTTATATGAATATACCCACAATTAGGTACCTCATGCGAAACAAAGTCTCTGTCCAAACAGTCTGGTTTGTGTAAGCGGCCGTTACGTAAACGTTCGCCAATATTTTACTTTCTAATATTTCATGCAATTGCAATTAAATTTTAAAGTATGTAAACTTTTTGCTTATGCATCAAAATTAAAAAGTAATATATTGTCTATGGTATATTCAGCGCCATTACCGATTCCTTTACCTTTAACATTAAAATTATCAAGCCGATTATTTCACTTTTAAGCTTCTGTTAATGCTGATTTTATTTTACCAGCCAGTAGACCTATAAACATCTTTTTGAAATAAATTTACCAGCGGTGCCTTTCGTGCAGCGACCACCCTTCCGTCGCCGGCACATGTCATACCTGCATGTGAAATTAGGTTAACCATCTTCATCTTTGCCTTCACCTAATTAACTTCAAATATTAAAAAAAAAAACTTTTCTTTTACTGTCAAACGTCAAACAGTAGTTGTAATAATGGCGCCAAATTTTAAAACTTGTATTCTAATAAATATTGAACATACTTACCTCTTTCCAATCTTGGTTTTGCACGGAGTAAATAAATAAATAAAGTCATTATTTTTTAATAGAATCAAATCAAAGAAAACTAAACAAAAACAAGCAATCGTTGTGATGATTTGTGGTCAAATTGAAATTGATTTTGTGAAAGTTTTCAATTACATGTAAAATTATATTTCAGGCAATTTATTTGACTATTAGATACAAAACAACAATACTTACGTCAATATAAAAGATATACGAAATATTATTTGGTCAATTTGGCCATGACATTATCCCTAACTAATTTTCCATATAATATAAAATCAATATAATCAAATTGACTATATAATTGCAAATATTTTAAGTGCCCTTATTCCCAAGACATAGGTAAATTATACAAATTTACATAAAGTCGTTTATTTAAGTGACGGTTTCCCACAATATAGATATCGTGTTTACCTAAATTCAGAAATCATAAATAAATTATTGTTGCAAATAGACTATTAACATTTCAGTTTATTGCCTTGTTATTAAAGTATCTTCATATCTTGTTTTATAATTAAAACTTGATGTACAATTTTCTCGTAATATACCAACATTGGTTATTGCCCAATTGTTCATTATACGATCGTAATAAACGATAACTTCATAGTGCTTATAACGGAGTAGCAAAGATTAATAAAGCAACATATACCTCGTCACAATACAATTAAAACGCTTTGAGTATCACTAAACGGCAGTGAACAGTTACTCGGACAAAGTAAATTTCTCAAACACTGAAAAGGATTGAAAGTTTTCATTACTTACTCTATGATTTAAAAAACTTACTTCGTAATAGCAACAGCGATATCGTAGACTGGCAGCCGCCGCTCTCTGAAGAGATATTTGCCCATGTCTGTGAGCGCTGCCGCCGAGTCGATAGCGTCGCGGCCAACACGATTCCTTTCCAGGTAAGGTGTGGCATCACGACCCTGTAACCGAATACTTTTACTCAGTAGATATTCTTAAATGTAAATTATTCGTTATTTTTTATAAACAGAAGATGGCAAATAAACTTACAGCCACCTGATTTCACTTGAAAAGAACATAGACATTCGCAATATGTTTAGATATTAAACGACCAAAAATATTACATTAAGTGTAATGAGGCTTGTCTTCAATAACATAGAATAGATCTTCGGCCAATAGACACGATGCCTAGTTTATGGTTGGCATTCTTAAACCTTTTGACCTCATTGGCCATGTTCTACGAGCAATGTGCCCTGCCCATTGCCAGTTATACTAAGCACCTAATACTACGAAAAATGTCGATTGATTTACTGTTGCGAACTGCTTTACACAGTGAAAAAATAATACAAAAACAGTTTTTATTAAAAATGCCTACAAATGAACAAAAATGCACACTAAAACGTCGGATTAAAATTTTATTATGCATCACGTGTATTTTTAATTCTAATAAAAATCTAAATCACGTGTCAACGGGACAAGTTGCAACGTGATGATGAACAAAACTTTCCTGACCTTGAATAATCGAAAATTAATTATCTGTATATTTTTAGTAGATTAAACTAGTTTCAGAGGCGACAGACGGCAACTAACATTTTCACCGAACTAATATTTATAAAAACAATGAAATAATTCCAACAATCTTATTAATATTGCAGGTGTCACAGATTTATTCATATTATTCAAATTTCCGAACGAACAGGTTATGTATTCATCAATAATATTTTCTTCACATCGAGTCGCAAAATTTTAATTAATGGTAATAAAGCATTCGATACAATGGTTACAAATAAAATATTACCAGTTGCTTGAGTTTTAAATGATAGGCGACTTATTGTTCAGAAATTATAATTTAACAGAAGAATTAATGAAGATTCCGTGTCATAGACTATGATTATTATGATTTAAAAAAATGAAATTGGAAAATTATAAGAGAACGTAACTCAGTAAAAAAGGTTAATTTGAAATAACCTCTTTTACAAAATGTAATAAAATTTAATAGCAATATAAAACACTAGAAATAGTTAATTCCCGCTAAAATGTTTTTGGTAGTTCAATTTATTAACCTATTTAGAATGTGAAATATTATTCTCATATAATAATTTAAACAATTAAATGCAATTTTGAAAATGAGTACCATAATTTTTTTATAAATTATTTAACATTTTGGCAGTATGATGTTGACCTTTGTCTGAAATTTAAAAAAAAGTAAACATAGCATTAGCCGGTTTATGCGTACGGAAAAAGGTTATAAATAATAATGGCTAGTGAAACAGTTTTAAAGTATTTACAAGATACAAATAGGCCGTATTCTTGTGCCGATGTTACGGTAAATTTGAGAGGAGCGTACACAAAGTCCGTGATTCAGAAGACATTGGACGCGTTGGCCGACGCGGGAAAAATTAAATGCAAATTGTACGGAAAACAAAAAGTTTATGTTGCTATACAAAGTGAGGATACGCAAGAAAATAGCGATGTTGAAGGTAAATATTAGGTATATTTTTATTACAAATTAGAAATATTTACAGTTAACCTAAAAAAATTTGAAAATTTATTTTATTTGCACGTCCTTCTTTTCCTTATTTCGTAATTATGTACATGATAGATTTTAAACTAAAGGGTAAAGTTAAGGGTATTTTTGTTACCTTCCAGAAGAATTGTTTAAATTTAATATCGGTCTTTTGTAGTTTACGAGAAATCTCGCAGGTAGATAAGTAAGTTTTTGAAGTAATCTATTAATACATGTAAAGGAGAGGCGAACTACTGATTTGACCTTTTTCTATTATGTATTGCTAACCACTAGACGAAAAGGTGATG